GGACATGTGTTCCCTGGCCTGCAGGAACTGTGTATCATGGTATCATAGATGCAAAGTCCAACCAGCTCGGATGCCCGAAGTATCTCGAAATTAATATAGGCCGAGCACGCAATGATGCAGTAACATCAGGATCCAGCACCTAGTCAGATTTCAATCCTGGCTGTATGCTTCAAGTTTCGGGGTCGTTTAGCTCTCCTTGTCATAGGCTTGGCAGCAACACAGCTTATACAGCCCTTGTAGTTATACCTACGGACCCCCGTAGTAGCAAACTCCGTAAACGTTCTACACAATGTCCCTGGGGATGGGGCGCTTGCCGCGGGGCCCGCCTGGGACCTCCCCTCGCAGAGAGCCTTGTCCGAACTTCGTCGCCTATTTGGGGGTTTCCGAAAATAGGCGACCCTAATATAGTACCCTAAATAATAGGATCCTTATTATAAGGACCCCAAAATAAGGTACCCTAATTTCTGGAAACTCCCATATAGGTATCAGTAGGGTACGTTACGTTGTAATTTGTACAACTTACACCTATATAACTTATAACCCTTTGATTAATGTACTGTGAATCCTGCTTGCTATGTCCCTTGATCGTAGGAGCCCCCAAGACCCAGGAACTAACCTTCGGGTATAGAGGTTCTCGCGGCCTCAAAGATTCGCAGCTGGTACTTCGGGGTTTTCGGGGGAACTTTCACTCCCCAAGCCCTTCTATCCCTCAACCGCATGAAAAACTTTAGGTCGAGAGAAGTGGGAGGTCGGAAACCCTTTTCGACAAAGGATCAGTGGACTTAGGAAGTAGGGAAAAACGTACCGCAATCAGTGGGGAAAACTTGGTAATCACCATTCATATCACCATTCATATAGTTACCATACTTCTGTCTCTTCTTGTAGAGTCCCCTGATATTCAAGTAACTCCTAACTCGCAGCAGCTGCAAACAAAAAACTCCAAGTCCCAGCTTCGAACTCCAGAAAAGAGGCCGTACCGGTAGGGTGATTTAAGTGCATGCTGTGACAACGTGGGCAACTAGACCCACAAGTGTAAACTCCTCAACTCTGAACCCTACATAAACCCTAAAAGCCCCATAAACCTAGACCCTCAACTTAACTTTTAAATTTACAAACCCCTAAAACCTAAATCCTCATCTTAACTCCTAGCCCCAAAACCCCCTAAACCCCTGCAAACCCTGGAGCTGAAACTCTCAACTTAGCGCCTAACTTCCAAGTCTAAGCCCCCGAGGAGAGGCCCCAGCTTGATGGCAAACTGCTGAGATGCGCCGCCTGCCTTCTGCTGACATTGTCGGGGCCTTGGTTTACTTGTAGGATCATGGGACTTAGTCAGTAAGGTTAGAAGTACCCTAATCGGGGTAATAATTATAGTTACCTTATTTATAACCCTAGTTGCTAAGTCCCATGATCCTCCAAGTAGGGTTTATTGGGCTGGGGCTTTAGATCTGTCGGTCCATCATGTTGCATCCGACTCGCGAATGCTACTAGTTGAGTACCTGGGTCAGTCGGTTGTTGCTAATATAGGGGGCCTTAACAAGTAGAATAGGGTTTGGGGTATACTACACTATATCTAAAATAAGGAGCCCGCCAAAACCCTATTCTAATTATCACAAAGCGCCTACATTGTTCTTGCTTAGTTCAAGTTGTGGCCATGACAGCTGTGCAGGGCTGATCCTGCTTTCCTTCGTATCTGAGCCCTAGAGGTTTCCAGGGCTTCGTGCCAGGACCCTCCAAGTACTCGTACCCTCAAATAGGGGTAATGTAGGGGCCTTGATAATTACCTATACTATTTTTTTTGGGGGGGGGTTCCCTGTTATAATGAGAGTATCATGGGCCGCAAAACCCTATTCAAATTAATATGGCCCCTATATTAGGGGCAGATGGTCCCAAATTGAGGGTATTTAGGGTCCACTAGAGGGTAGATGGAGGGTCTAGGTGGGTAGTGGCGATTGTTGGAGTTCTTGGGCCAGCCCTGGACCTTAGACCCTGAAGCATAGTAGGCCAAGTACACGCGCCCGAGGCCCCGGTGAAGTTAAGCCCCATAACCTTAAATCCTAAACCCGGAACCCTGTAGACTGCGTAGGAGTGACATACTAGAAAGGGCCCAAACACTGGACAACAATTAACATGGGAAGGCGTTTGGTGTGCGGGTTCCACTGACTGTGTGTTGTCTTCGGTTTTTGAGCAGGGCTTGACGGTGTTGGCCTTTCGGGTACGCATTAACCCTCATGATGGAAATTTGAACCCTATCATCGATCGTTAGTGAGGTCTCAGTTTGATGGTCGAGGCCTTATGAACTTGCTTATAGGGATGACTGTGTTCGGCGCTATAACATATACATGTACATGCGCATACGTGCATACCAGTACAGAAATATGAAGACAGACGATGCAACATCATGACATTTTAGTGATCGCGGAGCTGAAGCTCGCGACATGCACTCTGAAGCCCAGTGCGCGCTCCTGTTTTTTGGTCCAGAGGAGGGCTTCAGAGTTCAAGGCCCAGGGCGAGGGGCATCCGCGACAATCCAATCTCAGATCTAGCTCTGCGATGTTCTACACGGTTTAGGGTTTAGGGTTTAGGGTCCCTCTGAGTTCGGCCCGGGAGGCTACTGGCCTGGTGCTGCGCACCTCCGAAAACGACGTCCTTCGTGGTTCCCAAGTCGCAGACGAATCCTGGCAGGGTCCATCAATGCTCTTGTTGGGGGTTCGGGCTCTTTTTCCAGTCAGAGCCTTACCGGCATTGGGTCCCTGACTTTGTGCCTTGCGAAAAACATCCTAAACTAGGCCACTTGTCTCCACGACGATGAAGCCCTCAGCCGCAGCACCTGAAGCTCAATCTCTCAGCTGCAACACCCGACCTAGGAAGGCTTATGACGGGCCTAGTGATGCGCATGTCTTTGGGTTTGGGGTACAGGTTTCATTGTCATCACCTCCGCCATCACCAGCATCATCAGTATCATACTCATCATTACTGGATCTTCTCCGCCAGTTAGGCCCGAGATTTTGAGTCTTGGGCCTTAGAACCACCTTCTTTTGAGGGTTTGGGCTTGGAGATCATTCAAGGAGTTCTGATCTGCAATCCCTGAACCCTAGGCCCTAGGCCTTGTCTTAGTGGTCCTCCAGCTACCTAAACAGGGATTCCTACATATGGACTTTGGGGTTGCAGGAGATACTCTATACAGGGTACTTGCGCTCTTGGGGCTAAATGATGCTCAAGGATACGGACTCGTGCCGAAAGTACGAGTTGTCCGAGTTCCAGCGCGTGAAACAGTAGTTAGAAGTCTACCTTACACCGCCGCTCCTCGAACAAGGACAAGAAAACACGATGCATACGTACATGTGCATGTGTACGTGTACATGTATACAGTGTATGTGCATCCATCCGTGCATGATGCATGCATGCATACATACATACATACGCAGAAGCACATACACACATGGGCACATGTACACACAGCTATATACATACATGTACGCACATGCACACGCTGACTGATGCGAAGGTATATTCACATATGTGGGTGTGCATGCATGCATGCATGCATGCATGCATGCGTGCATGTAGGTAGGTAGGTAGGTAGGTAGGTAGGTAGGTAGGTAGGTAGGTAGGTAGGTAGGTAGGTAGGTAGGTAGGTATATATGTATATGTGTGTGTGTATGGATGGATGTTGGTATGTGAATATGGATGAATGGATGGATGGATGGATGGATGGATGGACGGACGGACGGACGGATGGATGGATAGGATGGATGGATGGATGGATGCATGTATGTTTGTATCTACGGCACTCGATGGTTTAGCTGCAAAGAAGTTTCAACATCGGAGTGAGTGTGTGCGTGTGTATGTATATATACAGTTACAGTGTATATATGTCAAAGCATAGCAGTCAGTACAACTTTTCTACATGCCGACATGCATAGGTTGCTGCAGTTCAATACTGTGTCGGAGATACCTCGAATGGTCCAGATATTCCTTTCTACCTTCTGCTGGCACCCCTCCTCCAGGACGGGTCATGACCGGCTTAGCCGCAGCCGTCGCCGGGTTTTGGGGCAGACCGAGAGTACTGAGGCAAGGGTGCCGTTGGTGGGTTTTAGATAGGGTTTCCAGACGGGTCTAAAAAGGGTCTGGTAATGCGTGCATTTTTTACAAGGGCCTTTTTCTGCAAAGGTTTGATTTCATGTATGACCGGGGATTTCTCAGACAACCTGCACGGCTTGCAGCCGAGATTGCAAGGGTTTAAAATACAGTGAAAGCCCGCAACAGCTAGTGGCACCTGGTCTATGTAAGGCGTTTGGTCCAAGTACCCTTATACTTCACTGACTGGAGTTCATAATACGGTTGGTGCAGTGGGCTCTACAGAGCTTGCCTCTTCATGCTTGGGTCTTCTAACTCTCTTAGGGGGTCTGCAGTGGTTAGCAGTTTTCAAGGGGAACTTTAGAGGGATTAGCAAGAGCATTACTTGAATGGCTTGGCTTGGGGTCGATTTTTAATTTCGTCGTCAAGAATCAGAATCAAAACCCACCAAGCCTGCACACTGAGAAGCAAGGTTCTATTTGAAGGATCATCGAGCGTAGCAAGCAAGGTTAGGGGTAAGGAAGCCTAACAATGAAACAGACAGGCAAACGTCTAAGCCCACATGAAGCACTGAGAACCGTAGTCAATGATCATTCACGTGCGCCATCTGCGGATAAACGACATGAGTTAGGAGAGTAGACCATGCGACTCGAAAGTAGGAGAAGGAATCTATCCATGTTGAACCCTTCCCTTTCTTCGTATCCCTAATATATATATATATATATATAGACCCTAAAGTCTACGAAGCCCCAAACCTGGTAAGGGGTGGTGCCCTACACTCGCAGCTTTACGATCACGACCAGGGGGAGAGGGAAGAGCGAAAGCATCCGCGAAAGCTCCTGAAACGCTATGCCCGAGCAGGCTTGGGATTCCGGCTTGAAGCTGGGGTGCATAGGGTGTAGGGCAGTGTAGGGTCAAGGGCAATGTCGATCGTGGTGCTGGATGGCGTCGTGGACAACGATCTGCGGCAGCTGATTCTGAGCAAGTTCGACCCGCTCGCCCCGGGTGCCGGGACAGCTCTGCCAGAGGTTTTCGTTCCGAAACCAGGTTGTCCAGTGTACCCGTTGACTTTTATGAGTTGCGGATTCCGTTTTAGAGCTGACTAATCTTAGAACCTTATCTCCGTACGTAGAACGTAACCCCTTAAACATCCTTAAACCATATACATCCTCATCCTCTAAACCCCAGATCGTTAAAATCGGGTTTTTGCAGGAAACCCTAAACCCTAAACCCTAAACCCCAGGAAAGAGCTGGAGCAGTGGCTACAGTCAGTGCTTCGCTGCTGCGCTGCAGGCCAAGATCCCTCCCCACTGATGCCAGGCTCCGGATTTTGGGGGATTCCTTGAAAGGTTTAGGGTTTAGGGTTTAGGGATTTTGGGGGATTGATGAAAGGTTTAAGGGGTTCCTGTAAAGGGTCCTTTAAAAGGATATCCTAAACCCTACGTAAACCGTGGTTCCTTTAATTAAAGGGTTCTTGAAAGGGATATCCTAAACCCTAAACCGTGGTTCCTTTAAAGGGTTCTTTAAAGGGATATCCTAAACCCTAGACCGTGGTTCCTTTTAAGGGCTCTTAAAAAGGATACCCTAGACCCTAAACCGTGGTTCCTTTTAAGGGCTCTTTAAAAGGATACCCTAGACCCTAAACCGTGGTTCCGTTAAAGCGTTCTTTAAAAAGAGATATCCTAAACCCTAAACCGTGGCTCCTTCAAACGGTTCTTTAAAGAGATACCCTAAACCCTAAACTGTGGTTCCTTTAAAGGGTTCTTTAAAGAGATACTATAGGGCTGCTGAAGCTGCAGGCTCTAGGCTTTACGGTGCAGGCTTTAGTTTCTTGGGCTTCGCGGCTTAGGGTTTTAGGGGTTTAGGGGTTTATCGGTTTGGCGCTTTGGGCTTGCGGTGTGGTTAGAGTTTAGTGCTTGCGGTGCTAGACTCCGGGTGTTTTTCCTATCTTCGTCTCGCTATTGCAGCCTTGGTTTCAAAGAACCTCCGTGAAAATATAGTGCGATCCCAGAAGAAGATGCCCCAAACCCTGAAGTGTCCCAGACTTGCCAGGCGCGTCGGACGGACGATCAGAGTTGGTTCCGATGCCTGGTCGGGTGGCGGTGGGAAGCTCTCCCATGCACCAGGATACGGGCTTCGATGCGATGGGGAGGCCCGATCCAACACGTGTCGAGGGCCTGGTGGCCGTTCTGTATCTCGCGGGCTCCTTGCTCTTTTCTAGTATAGGGCTTGAAGGGATAGGCTAGTTGTGTAGTTCCTAATCTTCTTTCCTTCCAGACTGACCAACAGCAAGGCTCTGGCACCTTGGTGATTGACACAGGTTCCCAACGTCAATCTGTCGAAGTGAGGCCATGCCGCCTTGTGGTGTGGCCGAACGACCAGTGCATCCATCGCCTGGATGCCTCCCCGGAAAAGGAGAGCCGCATCATGCTCGGACCTATGACACTCAGCTCCGCTGGTTGGAAGCGCGCAGGTGATCAGTATGCGTCGTGGCGGGGTTCCCCCTGCTATTCTACCCCTGACTGCAAGTGCCGCGACTGCGAAGCAACGAGAGCAATCAGGGAAAGGGAACGCCAGCAAAGGACCCAGCAAAGCGGGCAAGTGACCCGAACGGATCCGTGGTGCGGTTTGGAAGCATGCACGGTGAGCTGATATGTGACTAGCAAGCGTCACGTGTAAACAGCTTGCTTGGAAGGTATCACATGTACAGTCTGCGATACAGTCTGCAAGGCCTATATTATATATGAAGCATAATAACAAGAGTAACAAAAGATGACAATAGTAATGACAAAAAGCAATAAGAGCCACAATCATAATAACCATATGCATCTTTAAACAGAAGAAGAATCAGGCCTTAGCCCGATAACCCTATGCCTTGCAACGCTGCGCGAGCCCAGATGAAGCGAAAGAAGAGCCTCTTGCAGCCTCTTTGGATGACCTGCTCATGGGCTCCAGGGCCGACCTGTATGGTTTAGGGTTTAGGGTTACTAGAAGGGTTATCATAAGGATACTAGATGGGTTAATATGGGGCATTGCAAGTGTATTTTTATGGGTTGCGCTACAAGGGTACGATCAGGGTCACTAGCTGGGTCATTGTAAGGGTTACTTTCAGGATACGACGAGGCTGGCTCGAAAGCCTACCTTCGTCTCCATTGGAGCTCCCTCGTTGATTGTTTTGTTTTCCTACTCGGAGGATCATGGGACTTAGTACGTAAGGTTATAAGTACCCTCATTGGGGTTATATTTCTAGTTACCTTATTTATAACCCTATAGTTACTAAGTCCCATGATCCTCCAAGTAACCTACCAAAACCTACATTTTGGTAGGGCCGCCATACATTCCGTGCTACGAGAAAGGTAGGATTTGGTAGTTCAAAGCCTTAGGTGATAGAGTCTTAACCGTACGACGCGTTATCCTCCAAAACAGGAACTAAGCACTCTGTCGCCCGATCACAGTGCACTTGCCTCGGAGGAAGAGAGTGCAGGAAGTTGGGGGCTCGAAAAGTCTTTGCTTGGAAGGATCGTGGGGGTTTTGGTTTAGGGTGTAGGGTTTAGGGTTTAGAGCTTCGGGTTCGGGGCGCAACAAGAAGGGTTGGAGGTAAGGAATCTAAACACCTATCAGCTCAAAAGCACATGAAGCACTTAGAATCGTGTCCTCCAAGTGTGCATGTGCTAGATAGAAGACGTAGAGCTTGGAGAGTAGAACATGCGACGCGCAAAGCAGGAGAAGGAACCTGTCCATGTTGAAGCTTTCCCTTTCTTCGTAGCCCCATGCTCTTAACTCTAAACCCTCATTTAAACTCTACGAAGCCGAGGGGTGGTGTCGACCCTACACCTTCTGCTTTGCTGAACCCCAAACCACGACAAGGGGAGCGGGAACCCTGGCTCCTGAACCGCTATATGCCTCAGCAGGCTCGTAGTTCAGGCTTGAAGTCTTTAGGGCGTTCAGGGTGTATAGGCCTAAGGGCCATGTCGATCGTGGTGCTGGATGGCGTCGTGGACAATGATCTGCGGCAGCTAATTCTGAGCAAGTTCGACCCGCTCGCCCCGGGTGCCCGGACAGCCTTGCCAGAAGTCCTTGTTCCGAGACTGGGTCACTCAATGGACACGTGTCTATTCCTATAACAGTGCTTCCCTAGACCATAACGCCAAAAGCCTGACAGAACTCGTATGGCAACCCTTACAGTCACACTTATAGAACCCTCGGAATGCCAAACCTCACAAGCTTAGATGCCCCAAACTCTATGCTTTGCCTGAACCTAGATGTCAAACCTACAACCCCTGGGCCCCAACCCAGAAGAAAGCTTTGTTCGCCCAAGTTGTATTCGATCATAGACCTTGTCGTAGCATGTCATATCATACCACAACAAATCAGACTGCATGTATTTAGTTCTGTCTTATGAAGTTTGTCACTGCTAAATCAGATGAAATTAGATATTTCTTATACTATAGCACAGTATATGCGATAATAGACTGGACTAGACTCGACTGGACTCGACTAGACTAATCTGGACTAGACTATAGTTCCATAAGATGCATAATATAGACCCTAAACCCTAAACCCTGGGTGAGGGTCCACCTGATGCGGAAGCTTTGCCGTCAATGTCGGGATCGAGTGAGTGAGGTCGGTTGTTTTGCTGTGTCCGCAATATGGGCTAGCTGAACTCGCCTGCCTAATAGGCTTTCCTTGACGTGGATTGCAGAGAGGAAAAGAGGCGCTTAAAAAAAAAAAAACCCTAAACCCTAGACATATAAGGCCCTTCATACTACCCGTATTATAGGCTGTTACTCTATGGGGGCAGCACCCAGAGTATACTATGCTATACGGTATGCCCCAGGAAACCCATACCCCACCCTACGACAGTACACTATACCCTAAACCGTAAACCCTAAACCCTAAACCCTAAACCCTAAACCCTAAACTATACTCCCCAGGAAACCTTTGGAGCAGTGGCTCCAGTCCGTGCTTCGCAGCTGCGCTGCGGGCCAGGCTCCCTCAGCCTCGGTGCTGCCAGGCACCGGATTTTTGGGGTAAAGGGTTTAGGGTTTAGGGTTTAGGGTTTAGGGGTTCCTTTGAGGGGTTCTTTAAAAGGATACCCTATACAGCCTAAACCGTGTTTCCTTCAAAGGGTTCTTTAAAATTATGCCCTTAACCCTAAACCGTGGTTCCTTTAGACGGTTCGGGTGTGGGATTGCTTCCAAAGGCTTCTCTCTAAAGGGTTTACGGTGTATAGGGGTTCCTTTAAGGGGCACTATATAAGGGGTACTATGAGCGTTCTGCGAGGATTGTAGGCCTCCTTTCAAGGAATACTTTTGGGAGGGTGGATCAGGGTTCTATAAGGGTTTTACTGGTTTAGGCCTGAGGGTTTGCTGTTTCAGAGCTCAGGCTCGAAGGCTCATGGGCTTTGGGGTTTATGGTTGTGTTAGGTTGTACTGGTTTCGGGTGGACCGGCTTAGGCTTGAGGGTTGGGGTGCGCGGTTTTGGGTATGTGTGTAAATTACCCCCCTAACCATAAAGCATCTCCTAAACCTGCCAGGCGCGTCGGACGGACGATCAGAGTTGGTTCCGATGCCTGGTCGGGTGGCGGTGGGAAGCTCTCCTATGCACCAGGATACGGGCTTCGATGCGATGGGGAGGCCCGATCCAACACGTGTCGAGGGCCTGGTGGCCGTTCTTTATCTCGCGGGCTCCTTGCTCTTTGCTAGTCGGGTGTGAAGGGATAGGATACTAATAAAGGGATTGTTCCTGATCTGCGCTTGTTCCACGCTCGCGCCGCTAACTGACAGTAAGGCTCTGGCACCTTGGTGATTGACACGGGTTCCCAACGTCATTCTGTCGAAGTGAAGCCATGCCGCCTTGTGGTGTGGCCGAACGACCAGTGCATCCATCGCCTGGATGCCTCCCCGGAAAAGGAGAGCCGCATCATGCTCGGACCTATGACACTCAGCTCCACTGGTTGGAAGCGCGCAGGTGATCAGTACTCGTATGTGGGGGGCCAGCACAGGGGCCAGCAAAACGCAGAGGTCGAAAAGGAAGTGGCCCCAACACGTTCGTGCTGTTGTTGCACTGTCAGCTGAGACGTAGGAGGTCAGTTTCATGTAGACAGGCTTTCTTGGACAGTACCACAGGTACCGTCTGCGGTACAGTTTGCAAGGACCTGCAAGGCTGTGCGAAAGCATGAAGCACAAGAAAAACGTTTTGCAACGTTTGGGCTGAATTCTCGGGTCCCTAACCCCTAGGCTCTATATAGGCCCCTCAACTCTACATAAGTAAGCCGTGAGATAGCTGGGTCCCTGGGTTTTTCTGCATCCTTCTCTTCCTTGGCCTCCTGAGGAGTGCGGTTTAGCAGAGTTTGGGACTCCACAGTGCGACTCCCTTGTCTTGAAGTCGCATATCAGAGAGAAGGGAGTTAGGAAAATTGAATAGTAGAAAGAATAATCATCACGTACAAGTACTAACAGCAATGATGAGAATAGTTTTATTATGCAGGCTTCTTGAGGCATTCGGGGCCCAGAATCGCTTGCGCAGGACTGGCGCGACTTTCGCGCGCGGCTTGTGCAAGGCCCTGATGTGAGGGTTTTAGCATTCCCAAAAAGAGACGCCGTTAAGGCCGACATCTATCCTGTAGAAGTACTGGGCTCGTGGGGATTCGGGTCTGGGCGATTCGGCGCTAAGGGTTAAAGTTAGAAAGGGCGTACTGCTTGTCTTGGAAGCCGTGTACATGTGTGCCTGAAGCCCCTACGAGCTGTAAAGCTTATGCGTCTTTGTGAAGTCAGAGGTCGTAGGGCGATATTGCCTGACAGTAGGCTTGTTTTGTCTTGCCACGCGGCCGTAGTTTGTAGCCTGATTGAAAAAAACCCCAAACCCTATAAACCCTAAAGCCCGCAAACAAGAAAGTCAACGAGCATGAGGGCCAGTAGTTGGAGGAGGGTAAAGCCGGGAGATCAGACAGTCGCAGTATCCTGCAAGTTGCCTAGAAAGACCTTTGCAACCGGAAGACATGTATACATCGGACCAGACAGCTCAGTGGATATTCTTGATGATTTTCCAATCCCCTCTATTACCATGTCAACACAATTTGCACAAAAGGACCAACGTGCCAGAATTCCTACGTGTCGAGCTGGGCTAGCGGCTAATCATGATTCTGCAGCTGTTTCAATTGGCTAATATAGCGTGTGTTGAAGAACTCGGGGGAGCGCTATCCACCCAATCCTCAAGTCTCAGGCGTTTAGTTAGCGAGCTGATCCCTCCAAAGCCAGTAAGCCCTGAGAGATCCACTGCAAGGACCCTTCTACGAAGCCCGTTTGAAACCCCATGAAGCCCTGTACACAACTCTAAACCCTTCTGGCCACTCAGATCGGTAAGCCTTACCAATGTCAGGTTCACAGAACGGCGAGCTGCCAAAGGACGGCTTGGGGCCCGTTTCCGTCAAGGTGCTCTTTTCAGGGCTACTATAGGGTTCCTCTAAGGGTTCCTTTAATATAGGGTTCCTTCAAAGGTTTCTGCTAGGGGCTTTGGGGATTAAGTGGTTTAGGGTTTAGTTTAGGGTTGGGTTACTCGAAGCCTTGAAAGCATCTATAACCAGGGTTTGGGTTTATCGCATTTAGACTCTGAGCGTTTTCTCTTGTTCGTATTCTATGCGGGTTCGGGCGGTTCGGGTTTTGAAGCATCGTTCGATCATCGGCTTGCAGAGGTTCTTTGCAGGGCTGACGGGGCTTTGGGTTTGGGGTTACAGCTTTAGGAAGCCTAGGGTTGAAGAGTCTAATTTGGCGATAGCGCTTGCTTGATGGATCAGGCAACGGGGTACGTAGGGATGTTACGAGTAAGCAAACCCCCAATCTTCAAGTACTTATGATGTAAAAGAATAGCAGATCCTTCGTCAGCCGGGGGGTTTAGAGCTCGAAAGCCCGGAGACTGAACGTTGGTTTGGGCGCCGGCACGAGGCAGAGCCCAGTTACCCATAGAGTGGGTTGCTGTCCGAACCTTAATAGCACCCATAACCCAGTAACATACGACACAGGTAACTGGGCTCTTAGGGAATAGCTACTGTAGCAAAAAGCTGTTAGACCCTCTGGCGGAAGGCCTTCATGGCAGAGATATGCATGTCCATGCAACGCCTCGCTTTCCGTGTCAATGATGCGAAACCCAAACTCCTTTGTTTACCGCACCGCCTTGAATTCCTTCCCTTCCCCCAAATTTGGCACCTTATAGGGTTTATGGTTTAGGGTGCCCAATGAAATCCTTAAACCCTAAACCCTCAACCCTAGGGTTCAGGGTTTAGGGTTTATGAAACGCGAGTTTCCGAAAGTTAGGGGCACCTTCTCTTGGGGGGTGCTTGTACTAAGGATCCTACTCTTCTAGGGTACTATATTATGGGGTCCTTAATTGTAGGGTACTACATTCTGGGGTCCCCTGTTTTCGGAAGCCCTGAACTGAAGGACTGGGCGTACTCCACGGACCTCTTAGAGAAGGGTTCGGTGATCCTCTCTGTACCGGGAGCCTCGGCGTGCACTCGAAGACCTTGCTTGAGAAGTCATATTCTAGGGGCCTGGATAGTTACCCATAATTACTATGTTTTGGGGGGTTCCTTATTAAGGCTATGGTCTAACTATGTGCCCCCAAAACACGATTTAGGATTTAGGGATGTTTAGGGTCTAGGGGCCTGGTCATAGTTACCACTACCATGTTTTGGGGGGGTACCTTGCTTGAGAGGTAAGATAGAGGGTTAAGGGATTGGGGCTTAGGGTTGAGGGTTCAGGGTTTAGGGTTTAGGGTTTTAGGGTTTTAGCGGCCTCGATAATTACTTATGCTATTTAGGAGGGTTCCTTGTTATGGATATGGTATAATGTTCCCCAAAACACTATTCTAATTATTAAGGCCCCTATATCGGCTTGGGGCTGGAAGCGCACTTGTACCCCTACTTGCTCTGTACATCCTCTCTGATCTGCCACGTGGGCCTTTGGATTTAGCGCATTGCCTGCGGTGAAGCAAGTTCAACTTTCAGCAGATACCCGCCAAGCAACAGAAAACAGACACACAGACACACACAGACACACACACACACAGACACACACAGACACACACACACAGACGCACACAGACACAGACACACACAGACAGACAGAGAGACACACACACACACAGAGACACACAGACACGCAGACACACACACACACACACCCACACCCACCCGCCCACACCCACACACACACTCACGCACGCTCTCGCACACACACACACACGCACGACAAAGCAGCGCAGCATATCTTGTATGTGTTGCAGGGGCCTCTTCGACCCAGAATAGAGCCGGTTTGAAAGTTTCGAGAGAACTCCAGCGGCAAGCTGCCCTGAGCACTGATATCGCTCCTAGTGCTGTGAGGCAGGGATATATCTTGCCTAAACGCCCGGTTCTAAACCCGATGCCCTTGAACCTGTAGCGCAAACTCCCAGAACTACGGGAAATCGCTCAGAGCTGGCGAGAGAGACTCAGATAGAGCTACGGGTTTAGGCTGAGGGTGCGATAATCATCGGAGTACTGTGGAACGCGGAGAGTTGCTGATAAAACCAGGTATCCACTAACAACCAAAATGCTCAAATCACATCAAGCCATGTCAAGCCACAAGGATGCGTAGAAAGATTGCGAGCAGCCGGTGCCAGAAGCCTTTGACATCCTATAAATCTATAAATTATGAGAGCATAATGGATACTATAGTGTATGTATATGTATATATATATATACATATATATATGATTATATATGTATATACATAGCACAATGTCATAAAACACAATATGAACATTATATTGTTCGAGGAGACTACTGGGCTCTACGGCGACAGTACTTCGCCAAGGCCGGATTCCTAGGTCCTAGGCTTCGCAAGAGCGTCTCGTGGCGTCCAGGGTTGTGGCTCAGATTCGCTGAAGTGTGGGTGTTTTGGTTTAGGGTTTTGGTTTAGGGTTTAGGGTTTAGGGTGTAGCCCTAAACCCCAAACCCAAAGCAAAGCCATGTTTGCCCTAAGCCCTACGGTTGGGGGCTTCAGGGATCGGGTCTCGGATCAAGATTTGGACTGTCTGGGTGGCTGCAGGGAGTGCGAGCTAGGGTCTCTAGTTAGGTGTTGGTGAGAGAGTTTATACACGGCTCCTGAACCCTAAACCTGAACCTAAGCCCTAAACCCTCTACACGGCTGCTTGGGACTGTCGGGGAGTGTTTGCCGGCGGTTCTCTCATCGGAATTCAGCCTCCGATGCAGAGAACGCCATCTGCCGAGCACGGGTTGCTGGTTAAGGTTTCGGGTTTAGGGTTCAGGGTTTAGGGTTTAGGGTCTATAGGGTTTGGGTTTAGGGTTCGGGTCCTGATAAGAAGGGTCTTGTTACTGAGGTTGATATTGCTGGATATTGGGTGACCTGAATATAGAGGGGTCTTGTTTACTTAGGTTGCCATTATTTCTTATTGGGTGCGTCCTTATAAGAAGGGTCTTGTTACTTACGGTGAGTTGCTTGGTATTGGGTGGGTTTTGACAATAAGGGTCTTGTTACTTAGGTTGATATTCTTTTTTATTGGGTGACCGTACAAGAAGGGTTTTGTTTACTTAGTGGAATAGCGTTTCTTATGGAGTGGGTCCTGAGAATATGGGTCATGTTACTTACTTTGGTGTCCTGATCAGAAGGGTCTTGTTTACTTCGGTTGATCTTGCTCTGATTGCGTGCGTCCTTTCAAGAAGGGTTTTGTTACTTAGGTTCATGTTTGGGTTGAGTTGAAAGGCGGTTCTCAGTAGTCGGAGTTTCAGGGGACTTTGATAGTTATATCTCCAAACAAGCTACTTATAACTGTACTTAATAAGCCCCATGAACCTCCAAGTAGACCCTAAACCCTAAACCACTATAGACTCTTTTAAGGAACCCATGAAGGAACCCTTTGTGCTTGGGTGAGAAGCCGGGGGAGGTGCTCTGATATCCCAGAGATCAGCTCTCGGGTTCACAGGTTCCGGCTCAGGACTTTTGAGGGTTGTAGGAACTGTTAGTGGGGCGAAGGCGTCGAGGTGTTGACTTGCCTTTGTTCATTTCGGTTAGGAGTGAAG